GCTAGGTGCGCTCGCGTCATATCTGACGACCTACCCCTCCCTCCCATCCCTTACCATGGCGCTGATTTTCTCTATCCGCGGACGCGTGTCGTAGCGGACCTGTGGCTCCGCGCGCGCGTGCGTAGTGGGTGGTGGTGCGCGTGCGTGCGTGCGTGCGTGTGTGCGTGTGTGGTTGTGGTGGTGGTGGTGGTGGTGGTGGTGGTGGTGGTGGTGGTGGTGGTGGTGGTGGGGTGGTGGTGGTGGTGGTGGTGGTGGTGGTGTGTTTGGTGTGGTGTGTGTGTGGTGCGTGTGTGCGCGTGTGCTGTTGCATGGCACGGCGAAATGCACGCCAGCGCTGCAGCGGGAGCACGAGTCGAAACGAGCGGACGCGCGGAAATGAGGCCAGCGCTGCAGCGGGAGCACGATTCGGAACGAGCGGAAGCACGGAAATGAGGCCAGCGCTGCAGCGAGAGCACGATTCGGAACGAGCGGGGCCCGAAAGTGAGGCCGGCGCCTCAGCGAGCGCAGCATTTTGAAGAAAAATGCAGGCGAAAACCCAACTCCCAGGAATCCTGTGTGTAAAAAAGGACGCGGGGGGGGGCGAACACTCCCAGCACGTCATCAGGGGAAGAGGGAGAGTAGTATTCATATTGAGTAATTGTGGAGGAGGATTCTAGGGATTATGCCAAGGCGTAGCCTAGATAATTTCACAAGCCACCCTCTGAGCACGAAACCGAAGTAGCCGAACCAGAGGACGTCGTACAGTCACCAGCAGAAAACCGAGGAATGGTGCCCAGACGCAGAAGCCGACCCGTACACGACCAAAATAGCAATACCACGCCAGAATTACCATACCAGCCCCGAACACAAAGAAGGTCTGGAGTTGTGCCTCCGGACGGACTCCGCATTGACATAACCAGTGGCTAAGCAGAAGTGAGTTTGACTCTATGAGGCCCTGGCCAGAGGCATCGCGTAATGCGTGGATCACTGGGCCAACTCTCGGAGGAGCTCGCCTCGCCCACAGACCACCTCGCCCCAGCAGAACAAAGGAAGTGCCACCGACAGCTGAAGTCCCAGACCTGCATGCTCGCAACCCAACACTCCCATTGGGTAACGAGGCATACCCAAAGAGAAGTAAGACTTGATCACAGAGGAGACCACCAGGAGGGATACCCCAACGGCATACCGCTACGGACGAGAAGCCGAAGAAAGCGCCCCACCACGACGCGACAGCACATTCAGGACATCAAGAAATACAACATAGAATAATCATACCCTCCCCATGCGGGACTGGGAGATAACTAAATTGTAATAGAAGGCACCTGGATAACAACATTGCATACAACTTGTAAGGAAGCATACCTCCCCTGGCGGAATTGGGAGGCATCCGAACAGTAGCTGACGCAGCTTGCAACCACTTACGGTGCCAGGAAAAAGCTTGATCACGAAGTCGACCTCCATGAAGAACACCACAGCGGCATAACGTCTCGGACGAGAAACTGATAACTATTCCCCTCCACAGCGGCAAATTCTGGAGACCAAGATGCAGAAACAAATGATCTCTGCGAAGAGCGCCTGGAAAATTCTCCCAGCGGCATACCACCACGCGGGCGAGAAACCGCTGAAGACGTCCCACCACGGCAACCCATTCCGGAGACCAAGACACTGCGTAGCCGTGAAAATTTGAACGACGAGAAGATCACCAGGAATAACACCTCAGCGGCATACCGCCACGCGGACGAGAAACCGATGCAGACGCCCCACCACGGCAACCCATTCTGGAGAACCAACAAGAAACCGAAGAAGCCGCTCTACCACAGCAACTCTTTCAGGAAACCAAGGTACAGTTTTTAATACAACTTTGCCTCGCCTAGCCAATCGACAAACGGAAAGAATGACTCCACCACGGTGCCCTCCAAGCGCCGCGAAAAGGCGCGAGGCGCGACTGCGAGGCTCGCTCGAGCCCAACTGGGTTCGGAAAAGCCTCGAGCCGCAGGTGCTTGAGAGGATGAGGAGGAGTAGGAGGAGGAGGAGGAGGAGGAGGAGGAGGAGGAGGAGGAGGAGGAAGTGAGGAGGAGATGGCCTTCTCAGAAGGCCGCTGGAAAGCCCTCGCGCCTTCTGAAGGTTTTTTGTCGCGTCTTCGGGGAAGGCTTCGAAAACTTCGCAGATGGCCACAGGGATTTCCGAGCCTTCCCCCCCCGGGGCTCGCCGCCGAGAGGTGGGGCGGCGGGCGGGCGAGGAGTTCTTCTGCGACGGGCGCGCCCTGGACCCCGTGGTGCGGGACATCGAGAGGAGCTACGCGGAGGAGGCGGGCCGCACGGAGAACTGGACGGTGCACTTCGGCGGCGCCCCCGTGCCGGACGACGCGATGAAGACGATCCGCCTGATAGGTCGGAGGCTGCCAAGGGTGATCCTGGCCCGAGGCGCCCCCCGCTTCCCGCGCCATGTCTCGGCGGCGAGCGAGGGGGGGAAGTGAGAAAGAAGGCCTCCTCAGAAGGCGGCGGGACTTCTCAGAAGCCCTCGCGCCGTCTGATAAGTCTCTTGCGTCTTCTGGGAAGTGGCATGGAAAACTTGCCAGAAGGCTGGAGGACTTCCGAGCCTTCTGAGAAGGCCCGCCCCTTCTCGCTTCCCCCCCGGGCCCGCCACCGATCCCGGCCCGAGGCGCCCGCCGCTTCCCGCGCCAGTTCGGGGCCCTTGGGACCCCCGGAGCCCCTGGAGGCCACAGCGGTAGCCGCTGGCGACTCCCTGCCAGGGGACACCTCTGGCAGCACCCGGGCAGAAGCCTTCAAGGACCACGTGCTGGGGGAGGTGTACCGGAGCTGGGAGCGGCTGCTGCTCGTGGGCCACAGCGGCTGGTCAGGCTTCGCCTTCGCGCACCTCATGCCGCCGGGGAGCGGCGGGGAGCTGGACCGCCTCGCGACGGGCTCCCGCAGGGTGCGCCGCCTGAACAATGCGGGTGTCATCTGCGCCAGGTTCCACGACGTCGGTGGCCAAGGTCACCTCTTCGAGCGCGAGGGCCTGCTCGTCTCGAAGGAGAAAGAATGGCATGCGCACACGCTTTCGAAGGGCCGGGCGGCTTTCTTCAATCTGCGCTGGATCCCCCTGGTGGCGCCTTCAGCGCCGATCCGAGAACTCTCGGCGGACCTTCGAAAGTTTCTGCTCATGCGTTGTTTTCTTGTTCTGCCGTCTCGGATCAAAAGGGGGTGGAGCCTGGGACGCCGGAGTTTCCGAACTTCGAAGCCTCGGACAAGACGGTTCTCCTCGGCTTTCCACGGGATGCGCGGGTTGCCCAGGTGGTCCCGCACGACACCTTGCTCCGCTATTTCGTTATGGATAAGGTCGGGTATTACAGTGGACATGTGAGCAAGCGCATCTACATATTTTCTTATTCGGAGTCGTCAAACCGGAGCTATATGGCATGGTCTGACGAGTGGGGGGAGCCCCGACGTCATTGGCAGCTCGGGCTGGCCAAGATCCACGTGTCGTATGACGCCGAGCACTCTACCATTTTACTCACCCACGACGGTTCCCGCGACTCCAAAATAATTGCGCCTAGCAGAGTCGAGTTCGACGGCTTCAAGGAGTGGCTGGAGTATTGCGCCTTCCACGCGGCCCGTCAAGCGCGCGGAGAAGAGCAGGCGCTGAAAGAGAGGCAGGCTGGCATCCTCTAGGGCGGGCATGCCGAGTCAGCCGGAGTGTGTGTTTCGACGCCTCCGCCTTACACCTTGGGCGATGCTTAAGAAAACCTAAGTTTTCGGCCAGAGGCTCGATTATTCTTAACGTTTCCATGTAAATCCTAAGATGTTCATAGAAATTCTTGTTTTTTTTGTCAATTTCTGAGACTGTGAATTTCTTAACCCATGATTTCTTAAGCATTTCGCAGGGTGTATCTTTGCCGTCCTCGTCGCGCTCGAGATGTGCAAGTTCGGCCCCTCTGTCTGTGCACGGCCTCCCCCCGCCCCGCCCGCGGGGCGGCAGGACCCGGCGGGGGCCGGGCCGCCGGCCCGTGGAGGCGGGGAGCTGGTCCTCCTCCTCCTCCTCCTCCTCCTCCTCCTCCTCCTCCTCCTCCTCCTCCTCCTCCTCCTCCTCCTCCTCCTCCCCACCCACCACCACCACCACCACCACCACCACCACCACCACCACGGCAGTGCGCTCCTGAGCCCGAGTCGCCTCCACCGCAGCAGGCCGCTCTTGCAGTCGGGCCGCCGAAGAAGGGACCCTTTTCGTTTTGGGAGGGGCTCGGTGCTCCAGCACATGGACATAAATTATAAACGAACCCTGTGGCCCAAGATGCCCCCCAGACCCCGCGAAATTAATATTGATGGCGTGGCGACGAGAGGGGGGGCTTTCCACCACCACCACCACCACAACCACCACAATAAGTAGGAGGGGGAGGGGGTCCTTCTCCTCCTCTTCCTCCTCCTCCTCCTCCTCCTCCGCCTCCTCCTCCTCCTCCTCCTCCTCCTCCTCCCTCCTCCTCCTCCTGCTCCTCCTCCCCTCCTCCTCCTCCTCCGCCTCCCTCCTCCTCGCTCCGCTCCTCCTCCTCCTCCTCCTCCTCCTCCTCCTCCGCCTCCTCCTCCTCCTCCTCCTCCTCCTCCTCCCCTCCTCCTCCTCCTCCTCCTCCTCCTCCGCCTCTTCCTCCTCCTCCTCCTCCTCCTCCTCCTCCGCCTCCTCCTCCTCCTCCCCCCCTCCTCCCCCCCTCCAACTCATGGTGGTGGTGGGGGACGACAGGCCCGTCCGCCCCGGGCATCTTGGCCCCCCCTGTCCGTCGGCGGCGCGGATAGGGGGCCAGCAGGGCGTTGGCGCCGGCCTCCTCCGCGCAGGCAGGGGGACCCCCGAGCGGGCCTGCTTCGGCCACGCGCAGAGGGGAGGGGGCAGGGAGGAGGCCCTGACTCCTGATCCGCCCTACTTTGGGCGATTTCGAAAGTAGGGCGGAAATTTCCGCCCTACTTTTAAGGCCCCTTTGAGCGTCGATTTCCGCCCTTGAGGCTCCTTTGGCGTCGATTTCCGACACAATTTTAGGTCGGAAAATCATCCAAAGTACGGCGGATCAGGAGCCAGGGGAGGGGGCAGGGGGGAGGGGGGGAAGGCTCCTTGGAAGCAGCCTGGGAGGCTTCCCCCCGCCCCCGACCCGTAAGTCGGGCGTGTCCCCCACACAGGGGGATCTTCGACGAAAGATTGGAATACTCCAGAAATGCGCCAAACATGTCAAACAGTAGTCCAAAAATAGTCCCCTGACTATTTTTGGATTTTTTTGTGATCATTTTTGGGGTATTTTTTATTTTCGTCGAAAATCCCCTGTAGGGGGACAGGCCCGACCTAACCCTACCCCCCTCATGCGCGCCGCCGACTGCTTCTGGAAGCCTCTGTCCCCCCTTCGGAGAGGCCACCTGCATCCTCCGACTCGGTTATAAGGCCATCGAGCCGGCCGCTTAGAGCACGCCGATGCAGTCTGTTTTCAGCGTCGAGCCGACGTTTCGTCCCCTGCGAGGCTCTGCTCAGCCAGACTGGCTACTGACGATGTGCCTGCAAAGTGCACGATAGCATGCAGAAGGTACGTCATGTTGGACGGAGCTAGGACGAGGATGAGTCCGTTCCAGAGCGTTCCGGAACGCTCTGAGCAGGCCGCGACGCCTGAGACATCCTCCATAGCCGCCGGATCATCGAGATTCTCGGTTTATCCTCACACGATCTTATCCTCGTCCTCGCTTCGTCTCATTCTGACGAGTGCCCAGCCCCCCCCCCCTCGCCCCACCTTCCCTTTTCGGCACGCTGCCGAGCAGGTCAGGTCTGCCCCCCCCCCCCCCTCTTGTGTTTGCAGGAGCTGGGCCTCGCCAGTCCCATAGAAGCATTTAGCGATGTTGGGGCCAATGTGGGCCTTGACTGGATCGCTACAGTACTTGTCGCGATCACCGCATCTCGTACTCTGAAGTTCAGCTTGTTTGGTTGGGGGTAGTAGGGGCGGCTGTTGATGGGCATCGCCGTCGCGGCCACCTCCTCCACTTGCTATTGCTGCTGCCCCATCCGCCACATACTGCCATCCTCCCATCCCAGTCCCAGCACCCTCTTACAGATGAGTTAGACCAGAGGGAGGAGGAGGAGGAGGAGGAGGAGGAGGAGGAGGAGGAGGACGAGGACGTGGACGAGGACGAGGACGAGGAGGGCGAGGAGGACGAGGAGGACGAGGAGGACGAGGAGGACGAGGAGGACGAGGAGGACGAGGAGGACGAGGAGGACGAGGACGAGGAGGCGGAGGAGGAGGAGGAGGAGGAGAAGGAGGAGGAGAAGGAGGAGGAGGAGGAGGAGTAGGAGTGGTGGGAGGAGATGGAGGAGGAGGAGGAGGAGGACGAGGAGACGAGGGGACGAGGACGGACGAGGAGGACGAGGACGAGGGACGAGGACGAGGACGGGCGAGGAGGAGGGAGGAGGAGGAGAGGAGGAGGATGAGGAGGAGGAGGAGGAGAGGGAGCTGGATGGGGGAGGGAGGAGGGGCAGGAGGAGGTTGACTCGGGAGAAGGGAGAAAGGGAGAAAGGGAGAAAGGGGAGGAGGGGAGGGAGGAGGAGCGAGTTGGGTGTTTGAGAGAGGAGGCGGGGGTGAGGTCGGGGGAGCCCGAGGGGAGGAGGGAAGGAGGAGGAGGAAGAGGAGAGGAGGAGGAGGAGGAGGTAGGAGGAGGAGGAGAGGGAAGGAGGGGAGGAGGAGAGGGAGGGGGAGGAAGGGAGGAGGAGGAGGAGGAGGAGGAGGAGGAGGAGGAGGAGGAGGAGAGGAGGAGGAGGAGGAGGAAGAAGGAGAGGAGGGCCGGAGCAAAGCCAGGATATTTAGAAGATGCTGCGGTAATGGGACCTCCCTTCTCGAATCCCTTCCTCACCAGTCCATGCAAGCTTCCTCTTCGTGTTTTCGATATTTTTCAATCGTTGTTGGGTGCTCTCTTTTTCTCGTCGAAAATCCGCCTGTAAGAGGACATGCCCGGCCTAAAAGTGCACGTCGCTTCGGCTTGCGGACGCGAGGGAGCGGGCGTCGGTCGAGCAAGCGGCGGGGCGCACCGGAGCGAGTGGAGGCACGAAAGCGCAGGAGGACCGGAGGGGCGCAGGTCAGAACATGCACACATGGTTCATTTCTAATTGTTCGAGAGTTCCTTGATTTCTAGGGGCCAAGATCCTTTCATTTCTAATTGTTCTATCCTGGGCCTCTTCCTGGCCACTAGGGGGCCAGGAACAATTAGAACCGAGCACATTTAGAAATGAGCACGATCAGAAATGAATGACGTGTATCCCCAACGTCGGCCATGGCTCGTGCAGTTCCAAAAGGGACCCCAGGGAAAGGGACTCTTGAGACGGGCGATGCCGATTTCTCAAGTCCGCTCGGCTTCGCCCGCAAGGTCGCCGCGTGACGCTTTCATTCGCACTCTTCGAAGTCTCAGGTGACGCCGCGGTCTCAGAAGTCCCTCTCGCTAGCGTTCCTTGAGGGAACGTATCAATGGCTGCAGGCAGTAGGGGGTGACAGTTCCCCCCCCACACGCGTTTTGGAAAAGCAGAGCCCTGCGGGGTTTCAGGTGTTGGGGCTGAAGTAGGAGGTTTGGGAGGGTCAGGGGGGGGTCGGGGGTAGGAGAGTTCAATTAAGGAGGGTTCGGATACGTTTAGGCGGGCTTAGGGTTTAGGGAGGTATAGGGGGGAAGGGGGAGGGGTGTTTAGGAATAGGGGGTTAGGGGGGCTATGTGGTTGGCTTAGTAGGTTTAGGAAAGTTGATTGTTTCCAAGGGTTCAGGGAGTCTGGGTGGGTGTGGGGGGTTAGGTAGGGGTGGCAGGGGGGTGAGGGGGACTAGACATGTTTTAGGTGGTTTAGGAGGGTTTATAGGGGGGTTCGGTGGGTTTAGTGGGGGCTAGGGTATCTGAATGGGGGTTTTGTTTGTTTAAAAGTGTGTAGATTGGTCTTAGGGTTTGTAGAGAGGCTTGAAGGGAGGTTAGCTTTGTTGAGAGGGGGCTAGGGGAGTGGGAGCTCGGAGGATTGAGGCGGGTTCAGCGGAATCTCCGAGTGTTTTGGGGGGTCTGGGGGATTGGTGAATGTAAAAAAAGTCATTGGGCGGTTAGGGGGCTTTGGGTGCGCTAGGTGTGTTTAGGGGGGGACTCGGGGGAGTTAGGGGGATTTGGGTGTTTCGGGAGGGGGTCAGGGGGCTTAGGGGTTTTGGTTGGTTTTCAGAAGCTTAGGGGGTTGAGGCTGGCTTAGGGGATTAAGGTGGTTTTAAGGATTTCAGGGGTTCAGAGGCCTCAGTTGGTTTGAGTGGGTCTAGGGTTGAGGGGGTACATGAGTATGGAAGTGCCTGCAGTGGTTTACGGAGGGTCAGGGTGCTTAGGGAGGGTTGGGGGGGGCTCGATTAGTTCTTTCTGGTTTGAAGAGTGCAGAGGGATCAGAGGGGGTTCAGCGGAGTCTCCGGGTGTCCAAGGGGCTCAGGGGAAATTGCGAAGTCCAGGGGGGCTTCAGGGGTTATGGGTGGGGCAGGCATGTTTTAGTTGGTTAAGGAGGGTCAGGGGGTTCGGGGAGTTTGGGGGTGTATTGGGAGGTTAGGGTGGTTTGGGGTAGATTTGAATGGTTGTATCGTGTTCAGAACGGTTTAGAGGGGCATGGTGGTTCTTGTGCTCCGGATGTGGTTTTGCGAAAGTAGAGGTTTCGGAAGCGCGGCACGGGTACCCCCTTCTACTCCCCCAAATAATATTTAAGGGGTGGGAGTGTGGGCTTTTTCTGTTGATGCTGCATAATATTCTGTTTAGTTCTGCGGAGGCGGCACTCCCAAAACACCCTTTGTAAAAGCCCACCAGGCTTCCCCTCCCCCCGGGCCTCGCCCCCCCCCAAAAAAAACAACAACAACAAGAAACAACAACTGCCAGTGTTTTTTTTTTCAACGGGGGGCCCAGAAGCTCCCACGCCCTCCCCATCGCAGGGGAACAGAAGACAGCAACAACATCGTTGTTGTCCGAGGCCTGGGTGCATCTCCTGAATCGGCGCTAGACCCCGGTGACAGCGCCTCCAGCGCCAATTGAAGAAATCTCTGCCAAGACCCGCGGCATCTTATGTGTATGCCTTTTTCCCCCAACCCCCCAACAGCAGTTGGACGAGGCGAGCGTTTCTTGTGATTCATAGTTTTTTACCGATCGGCGCGGGCCCTCGCACCTCCCCCTCCCCCCCCCCTTCATGGAGTAGATCTTGGCTGTCTGAGGCGCCTGTTTCGGGCAGGTGGGGTCCCTCCCCCATCGGCCGCACTGCTGCAAGCAGTCGCGCTGAGCAGAGGTCCGGAGCCAGATCCCCCTCCCCCTCCCCCTCCCCTTCCGCCCAATGCCGAAACGCCGAATAAGAAAACGCTCACCTAGGGGGTCCGAGTTCGGTGTCCTACATAACTGGATGGGTGTGCATGGGATTTCGTTTCTTGTCGTGCCGGGGCTCCTTCTCCTCCTCCGTGCGCTGCGGCCTTACTCTGCATACGGCGCGTCCCCTGTTGCCAATCCGCCGGAGCAGTCGCGCCCTGCCCAGTTGCTGACGCAAAAAGTGTGCATGGAGGTCGGGAGCCTTGAGGCGGGGGTCAATGCAAACGGGGGTCAGCCAGGGCACCAGATCCTGCAGGAACCTGCGAAGACCCCCTCTGGCTGACCCGGGTCAGCGAGCCGCTCGCGGCCGCGAGGCGGCCGCGCACATTGGCCGACCCGGGTTTGCGCAGATCTGCGCTACAGTTTTTGGTCTCCTGCTGACCCGGGTCTGGACTGACCCGGGTCCGAAGATCCCCCGAGGAGGTTTCGCCTGGGCCCCGGTCGGTGGCCGCCCACACGGGCGCCTCGTGGGCGCCCGGGGGCGCTGGGTGGGTAGGCTTAAGTCGGGCGTGTCCCCCTACAGGGGGATTTTCTATGAAAAATCCGAAAATACCCCAAAGATGCCCCAGCAAAGGCCAAAACAAATATGCAAAAAAAATAGTCCCCAGACTATGTTTGGATTACTGTTTAGCATTTGGGGGTATTCTCTATTTGTCGCCGAAAGCCCCCCTGTAGGGGGACAGGCCCGACGTCAGGGCAGGCGCGGGGTTCGCGCTCTCGGTGCGCGCCCGGGGCCGCCCGTCGGGGGGCGCCTCGGGGGGGCTCCCCGTGCACGGGGAGGGCGCCACAGAGCTGCTCGCACCGCGCCGCCTGCAGCGCTGGGAGCGCATGGCGTTGCAGCGCCGTTTTGTTTATACATGCTCCGCGTGCGGATCATGTATCAAAAATGATGGGATTTAGCATGAAAAACAACGATCGATGAGTTCATGCATAAAGTGATTCGTGCTTTGATCATGTATCGAAGATCCTATGTCTTGAAAAGAATCCCGTGTGTTAAAAACTGCCCTGGAGTAAATACTTAACCTTCTGATCCCAAGTCAACTACCCCGAACGAGATCACCCTGCGGTACGGCCCGCAAAGCGCTTGATTTTCGGAGTCCGAATCGCCCACCGCGAGCGAGATCACCCTGAGGCGCGTGCATCAAGCAGCTTTCACCCGACTGTTTGCACCACAGACCGGCGCTTTCGAGGAGAAAAACGCCCAAGTACAACGCCCAGAAGATGGCGCAAGAGCGCCCCCCGCGCCCCCAATGTCATCGTTCATCTGAGGGAGCGGACCGAGGTTTGCCAATGTGGGCGTTTTTTTTTTCCGAAGCGACCCGCGCTCCCCCGCGCCGACCGCCCCGAACTTGGAAATTGGGGCCGGGGGGTCTGGACCCGCTTCGACACACGCATTCGAGATGGGCGTTTTTTGTTCGAAGACCACGGCAGCTCGCACGGCACGGCTTGCACCACACTGGTGGCACCAGTTCGCTCCCACCGCACAGCTAGCTTGCACGGGAAGAGTAGATGCTGTTACTGCACATCGAGACTGCAAAAGCCTACTGTCTGGGCGCCACGCTGGCCAACATCTGGTCTTCCGTTCTTCGGGTGCAGCAGCGAAGGGCGAGCAAGGGCAACACCGTCGTGTCCGTTCCCTCGGGGCGCCGAAGAGAAGACGACGATTGTCGGTCGCAGGCGCTGGCTGGTGCGCTGGTATCCGGTCGTTGACAGAGCCGCGGCGGTTGCCACGCTGCGGAATGAGGCCGGTCGCCGCAGAAGCGGCTTCGCGCGGGGATGTGAGCGGGAGGGGCAGCATGACGGTGACGGTGACGATGACGTTGAGGATAGGGATGATGATGATGTTGTTGATGATGATGTTGATGATGATGTTGATGATGATGATGATGATGATGATGATGATGATGATGATGATGATGATGATGATGATGATGATGATGATGATGATGACGTGGAGCGGGATGTTGATGAGGATGCGTGAAGAAGGGGAGGGATAAAAAAGAGGAGGAAGACGAGGAGGAGAAGGAGGAGACGGAAGAAGAGGACGTGACTGGACGATGGGTGAGGAAAAGGAGAACGCAAGAGCAGGAGGAGCAGGAGGAAGAGGGGGAGGACAGATCGGGAAGGAATGGAGAGGAGGAGGAATGAGGTGGCGGGAACGATGAGGAACAATGAGCGATGGGCGAAGCAAGAGGCGTGGTGCTTAGGATCAGCAGTAGAGGCAGGGGGAAGAGGAGGAGGAGGAGGAGGAGAACGAGTGTAGGCCCAGGGCGCATCAGCGATGTTGTAATAAACCCTCCCTCCAGGTTCCATACTCTTAGGTCCCTGCAAGAATTTGACCTGAATGCGGGAAGCGGCCCAAAAGAAGACAACCGTTTGGGAATCTTGAACCGTGCTAAAATGCCATTCCTTGGATTTCAACGCCGCGGATCAACGTGACTGCTGCGTCCTGACAATCCTAAATCTGACCAGAACGCCGTTCTTGGGATTCTACCACCGCGAGTCAATCTGACTTTGGCGTCCTGGCACTTCTTTCCAATCCTGCAAGAATATCATTCCTGGGACGTCAACCATGGGAATCCTCGAAACGTTCGTAAACTTTTAGACGAATGCGTGCGGAGCTGAAGCTAGAGCGACATATTGAAAAGGACCCCCCTCCATCCTGGAATCTGCTGCGTTTGTTTCACGAATGTGTTGGGCGCCAAGAAACGAGCCGCATGTTGTAAACCGCCTGTCCTCCATCCTTACAGCTGTTGCCAACGTGTAGTCATTAGCAACGTTCCCCTCGCCCCTTCTCCTGCGCCGCCCCTTCACCTCCAACAGAGGGTTGGCGGCGCCTGCTTTGACAAATGAACATGCACAGCTGTTTTAGCGTTCAGTTGAAGGTGTGCGCGCGCGGCAGGCCAGCATTTCTTCCCGGATCCGTTGTCGATGGCCCCGGGGCCCAACAATGACCTCCTCGAGGGCCGAGGCCGAGGAACAAAAACACTGGTTGGAAAACGCATGGAGGGTTCGGGAGACCCTGGACCCAACAAAAAAGTCGCCATCTCCTGGGGGCGCAGCTTTTACTTCCGCGGGCCTTCTGCCGCCTCCCGCCGAGGAAAAAGAGATGGCAACTCCTTCGATCCTCGAAGGCGCAGCCTTTTCTGGAACGCCTCACGTATCGCCAGAGATATCCTGGTCCGCCTCGCCCGCCCTTCGGATGCAACTCCTGGGAGGTCAAGTTCTGACTTTGCCCTGGTCCGAAATTCGATGTGTTCCCGTTTAGTCCCGCTCAATCCCGTTTAATCTGGTTTACTCCCGCTTAATCCGCGGCCTAATCTGTCTTAACCGTTCCGACGAAGACCTCCCAGTAGTTGCCTCCGAACCCCCCACAGATGTGGGAGGATGAGGAGGAAGAGGAGGAAGAGGAGCAAGAGGATGAAGTGGAAGAAGAGGGTGAAGAGGAGGAGGAAGAGAAGGAAGACAAGGAAGAGGAGGAGGAGGAGGAGGTGGAGGTGGAGGAGGAGGAGGCGGAGGAGGAGGAGGAGGCGGAGGAGGAGGAGGAGCGGGAGGAGGAGGAGGAGGACGAGGACGCCCCCTCCTCGACCCCTCCTCGATCCGCCCGGCCCGGAGGTGGGCAGCCGGATACAGCAGACGTGTGGCCGCATCCCCGAGGCCCCTCCCCTCTGCGGGGATCTGCGTAGGGCGGGGGCCGGCCGGCCGGCCGGGAGGGGACAGCCGCGGACCGCCCGCAGGGAAGAGGAGCAGCATCATGCTGGCCGCGCGGCCCCCACATTCAAGCAGTGGCGAAGCGTCCCGGCTCGCCTATAGCCCCACCATACCATGTTCTAAGAACCTTTTGTGGTTCCCACGAAATGTTCTTAGAACATTTCTGTCTGGGACTGTGTTGTTTCAACACATCGGGCTTATGTTCTAAGAGCATTGTTTTGTTCTTAGAACATTTTCGGGTTCTAAGAAAATGTCGTGGTATGACTACTAGGAATGCCAGGACGGTCGGTCCCTGCTCAACATATGTGCGGCGCCCAAAGAAGAGAGCTGCCTTCGCCGTCACCGCGCATGCGCAAAGCGCAGACACATACGGGCGAGGCTTCTCCTTTGGAGCGTACACCCACAGGAGGCCAGGGTGGCGTGGTCACCCGTGCCTCCCAAACACAGCGTCGGCTTCGAAGAGAGGCCTTCGCGCCCATCGGGGCAGCATCATGCTGGCCGCGCGGCCCCCATATGTCATGGCGCCAACATCGCAGAGCGGATCTCGTTCGGGAAACGATGGGACGGGCCCAGAGTGTCCTGGAGAATTTCGTTCCAGATTTCGAGGTGAATTTCGTGCGGTTTTTTGGGGCCAGGAATGAAGACAAACAAACATCCACGCGAAATTCACGTCGCTTTTCACTCGCCGTTTCGGGATTTCGCATGGGCAGAAATCCACTCGAAAATCGGCTGCAGCACGTCTGCAAGGTCGGTCGCTCAAAATTACCCTGGCGACGTACCCAACCCCTGCGCAAAAACGGGGCGCAAATAGTTTAGGATACTTTATAAGGGGGCGATGACGGAGCGAGGGTTACATATGTCTGCAGACGGAATTCGGGAGACTCGCAGGACACTGGCTACAGGAAAAGGGCTTGATAAAGCTGATGATTTACAATTCCTCAGCACTCCTAGCCACTTCGAAAACGGGGATCACAGCAGGCCTCGAAAGTGGCGACAGGTTCACAGATCGCAGCCCCGCAGGGATGGCGAGGTCTCATTTGAATCTGCCCGTGGCCCTCACTGTGCTGGGCCCCCCAGCAGGCCTCGAAAATGGCGACAGTTTCGCAGATCGCAGCCCCCCAGGGATGGCGAGGTCTAATTTGAATCCGCGCGTGGCCCTCACTGTGCTGGGCCCCCCAGCAGGCCTCGAAAATGGCGACAGTTTCGCAGATCGCAGCCCCCCAGGGATGGCGAGGTCTAATTTGAATCTGCGCGTGGCCCTCACTGTGCTGGGCCCCCCAGCAGGCCTCGAAAATGGCGACAGTTTCGCAGATCGCAGCCCCCCAGGGATGGCGAGGTCTAATTTGAATCCGCGCGTGGCCCTCACTGTGCTGGGCCCCCCAGCAGGCCTCGAAAATGGCGACAGTTTCGCAGATTCGAGGTCTAATTTGAATCCGCGCGTGGCCCTCAGCCCCCCAGGGATGGCGAGGTCTAATTTGAATCCGCGCGTGGCCCTCGCTGTGCTGGGCCCCCCTAATTTGAAGCACTGTGGCCTCGAAAATGGCGACAGTTTCGCAGATCGCAGCCCCCCAGGGATGGCGAGGTCTAATTTGAATCCGCCCGTGGCCCTCACTGTGCTGGGCCCCCCAGCAGGCCTCGAAAATGGCGACAGTTTCGCAGATCGCAGCCCCCCAGGGATGGCGAGGTCTAATTTGAATCCGCGCGTGGCCCTCACTGTGCTGGGCCCCCCAGCAGGCCTCGAAAGTGGCGACAGTTTCACAGATCGCAGCCCCCCAGGGATGGCGAGGTCTAATTTGAATCCGCGCGATTACCCTCTATGCAGGACCCCCCAGCAGGCCTCGAAAGTGGCGACAGTTTCACAGATCGCAGCCCCCCAGGGATGGCGAGGTCTAATTTGAATCCGCCGCGATTACCCTCTATGCAGGACCCCCCAGCAGGCCTCGAAAGTGGCGACAGTTTCACAGATCGCAGCCCCCCAGGGATGGCGAGGTCTAATTTGAATCCGCCGCGATTACCCTCTATGCAGGACCCCCCAGCAGGCCTCGAAAGTGGCGACAGTTTCACAGATCGCAGCCCCCCAGGGATGGCGAGGTCTAATTTGAATCCGCCGCGATTACCCTCTATGCAGGACCCCCCAGCAGGCCTCGAAAGTGGCGACAGTTTCACAGATCGCAGCCCCCCGCAGGCAAGACAGAAAGAGGCAGGAAAGAGGCGGGAGGCGGGAGGAGGAAGGACGCGACCACACTGCTCTATTCAAAACGAATACCCAACCAAGGAGGGTTGGGAAAAAGAGAGCTGTCTTCGCCCACGTTCGCGCGTAAGCTGGCCGCGTAAGGTCGCGCGTGAGCGCCCTCGTTGCTTCGATGTTGGCCCTCGGGGGCCAGAGCTGGGCCCCCGGGCGATCAAAAACGGACACAGGACGAAAGCTAGCCCTGGGCAAGTGGTCGGGGTTTCGATTTTGGGACCGCGGATGGAACGAAGCAGATCGGCGGATGTCAGGGCCCCGCAGCGGCGGCGCAGGACTGGGGCCGTGGGGGAGAGAGCGTTTCGAGCCGCATCCGGCCGCGGCCACACGGCGAGGGCGCCCCTGGGGTGGGGGGCGCCCCTGGGCGAGGGCGCCCTGGGGGGGGGGGGGGGGCGAGGGGCGTTCAGCCACGAAGGAGGGGTCCTGAGGGAGCCGGGTCCCTCCATGGGCCCTGGGACCTGCAGACGGCGACTCGGGATGAAGACCTGTTCCCGGGGCTTAAGGCCTCAGGGGTCCAGGCCCCGTGCCCCTCGGGATTCGCTTCTCGCATGCCAGACGTTGACGGGGTGGCAGTTCAGGGACCCGTTCCCTCGGGACCCGGTTCCTTCGTGCCAGACGTGGACGGATTGGCAGTCGACGGGGGTCGAAGGAGGGTCGCAGGAGCCGAAGGGACCCCCCAAGGCGCCCTTTGAGCTGCCGCCCCGCGTCCGAGAGGCAGCTGAGGGATGCGTGGCTCTGCGCCCGCCGTTCGGTCCCCCCCCCGCTGCCGCTGCCCGTCCGCCCGAGACGTCCACAGGGCAGCCGAGAGGACCCAGAATCTCGACGCCTCTTTTTATGATACGCCGACCCCGGAGGTCTAGACCCACTGCCAGGGGGCCACATGCGAAGCCTACCCCCACCCTCCACGGTTTCTGAGGGGGAGGGTGGGGTTCACACCGCTCGGGAACTCCCGCGCGAAGTGAACCCCGCCCTCCCCCTCGGAAATCGTGGGGGGTAGGGGTAGGGATCGCATGTGGCCCCCTAACTGCTTCCCGGGGACCCCCCAGGCCCTTTTTCTCGTCGACTGCCCCGAGGCCCCTGCGAGGGCCCCAGGAGGCCGCGAGCGGCCCCGAGCGGCCCGTCCTGTTTTCTCTACCCGCGGCGGGGGAGGAGGAGGAGGAGGAGAGGAGGAGGAGGAGGCAGGGGAGGAGGAGGAGGAGGAGGAGGAGGAGGAGGAGGAGGAGGAGGAGGAGGAGGAGGAGGAGGAGGAGGAGGTAGGAGGGGGGGGGAGGAGGAGGAGGAGGAGGAGGAGAGGAGGAGGGAGGAGGGAGGAGGAGGAGGAGGAGGAGGAGGGGAGGAGGAGGAGGAGGAGGAGGAGGAGGAGGAGGAGGAGGAGGAGGAGGAGGAGGAGGAGTGAGGAGGAGGAGGAAGGAGGAGGAGGAGAGGAGGAGGAGGAGGAGGAGGAGGAGGAGGAGGAGGGAGGAGGAGGAGGAGGAGGAGGAGGAGGAGGAGGAGGAGGAGGAGGAGGGAGGAGGCAGGAGGAGGAGGGGAGGAGGGGGAGGAGGGGAGGAGGAGGGGGAGGAGGAGGAGGAGGAAGAGGTGGGGGAGGAGGAGGAGGAGGAGGAGGAGGAGGAGACGAGGAGGAGGCGGAGGCGCAGGGGAAGCCGCCAGGAGTGCACAGACCGTCCAGGCGTCTTTCCTGCTTGAGAGCCGCGGCGGCGGCGTGCCCGCGCGGCGGCCGCGGCCAGCGGTGGGCACAGGCCTTCGGCCACCTGGGCATCTCGGAGCGCCGCGCGGAGAGCACGCTGGAGGGCGCCGGCGTGTGCTGGGACGTGTCCCTGGCCCTCGAGGCGGGCTTCGGGGGCTTCCTCCCTGGCCTCCTCCCTCCTCCTCCTCCTCCTCCTCCTCCTCCTCCTCCTCCCTCCTCTCCCTCCCCTCTCTCCTCCTCTCCCCCTCCTCCTCCTCCTCCTCCGCCTCCTCCTCCTCATCCTCTCCTCCTCCTCCTCTCCTCCTCGCCCTCCGCCTCCGCCCCTCCTCCTCCTCCTCCTCCTCCTCCTCCTCCTCCACTTCCTCCCTACTCCTCAGACCTCCCACGGTGTGATTTCTTACATGTTTTTTTTTGTCTTCGAGGTCGGCCTCCTGGGGCCCGTCGCTGGGCTCCGGGGCACGGGCGGGCTCGAGGCGCCGACGGGGCGAAGCCTCGGCGGACCCACCCGGGGCACGGGGCGCCAACGAGGCGACACCTCGGCGGACCCGAACCAGGACGCGGGGCGCTCACGGGCGCGCACGGGGCACCCGCAACGTGGAAAATCTTCGGCGGGCCCGCCCCGAAACAACAGCGAGAACCCCTAAGTGAAGCACTCGTCGGGGACAAGTTCTGGCTCCTCGGCTCGACCGCCCATGAAACACGATTGCGGCTCCCCCCAGGGCGCTCTCGAGCTGTTCCTGCCCCGCCCCCACCTCGTCCCGGCCCCTACTCAAGTGGAGCCCCCAGCGGTAGGAAACAGATTACAGGCGCCTCTCGTAACCCCACCAGCCCATCCAGAAACCATGCCCAGGCGAATTACCCTAATAAGGGATGTGGAGAAGCATGCAGTTGAATAAAGGGCTGGGGAAACTGTCATAGCCCAAGAGGGGGAGGATGGAGGAGCAGGTTGGGGGGCGGGAGGGGGAGGAATAGGCGGATGAGAAAGAGGAGGAAGAGGAAGAGGAAGATGAGGAAGAAGAGAAGGAAGAGGAGGAGGACGAGGAGAACGAGGACGAGGACGAGGAGCATGAGGAGGGCGAGCAGGAAGGCCAGAGGCCTCTTGTATACCTCTCGGAGTCGCTTCGGATACCTCTCGAAAGCTTCTTGGGGTTGTCTTGGGGCGGTCTCTGGGGCCTCTTGGCGGTCCCAGGTGCTCTTGGAGCGTTTTGGGTGCCTCGGGGGAGCCTCTTGGGGCCTCTTGGGGATCTCTTGGGAGTCTTTTGGGGGCCTCTTGGGGCCTAATGGGCGCCTCTTGGGGACCTCTTGGGGCACTCTTGGGAGCCCTCGGGGTCATCTTGGAGCCATCTTGGAGGAGTTCGATCAGATAAGGGGCAGCAAGCGTGGAAACAGTTGGAGCATCGGCGAGAAACACGATATCAGACAATAATGACAGCATATCATCCACATGGTCAGCAATGGCGACATCACCACAATAGCATGACTGCAAGAGCAGCAGCTGCCCGGACAACGAAGACGGCGGCAACACATAATATTGGTGACAATCGTAAGCAAAATGGTAGAACAACAACAACAATATGAACAGCAAGAGCGGCTTCAGCAGCCCTCAGGTCAACCGGGTTGAGTCAACACAACGAAACACAACATAACAGCCACAGTAACAACAATCACAAGGCAGCAATCACACCTTCAAAGCCGGCAGAGGTCTCCGATCGAACAATTTTCGTGGTTTGGTAAGAAGCTTTGTTTAGCAGGATAAGGAGGAGGAGGAGGAGGAGGAGGAGGAGGAGGAGGAGGACAAGGAGGAGGAGGGGGAGGACAAGGAGGAGGGAGGAGCGACGAGGGAGGAGGGAGGAGGACAAGGTGGAGGACAAGGAGGAGGACAGGGAGGAGGAGGAGAAGGAGGAGGAGAAGGATGACGGAGGAGGGAGGGGCGAAGAGGGAGGAGGGCGTTCGTCGTCGGATGGTGCCATGCGCGTAGTGCTGTGCTCTGACTGGTGCTACTGGCTCGAGAGAACGCAGATAAGCAGAAAAGCAAAGAGGAGGACGAGGAGGCACCCCACCTCCAAGGCCTCCTCCAAGAGGCCGAAGTGAAGCGACACGCGGCTTCGCCAGGTGCGTGCACGGCCGGGTAGGAGGGCGCGGCGGGTGGCGCATGGGACCACCCGGGGATCCGCCACTCACGCCACCACCTGGAACTCTCCCGGAAGACACAATTGCAAAAGACATGGAGGAGGCAATAGGGCGCGCCCCAACAGGAGAGCAGGGGAACGCCAGCCCGCAGCTGGAAGACAGGTTCGGGCTCAGTGTCGTCACCTCTGCGCGCCGGTTCGGCGGTCCAGCCGCGCTGACTGCAATACAGAGGCAGCGATACTCGCCTAAGCGGCAAGAATCCATCGCTGTGAGAGGGGGCGAAGGAGGAGACCCCAGCGGAAAGGTTCTTGGCACGCGGCCAGATGAGGATGCGACTGCAAGTAGGCACCTACCGCCGCCAGTGCCAAGGCACATGGCGCAAGACGTACACTCACAGGCAGCGAGAGCAAGCCACCAGAGCGGGGCGAAAAGCACGAAGAGACGAACAGCGGCCAGAAGAAGGGAGGTACAGCATACAGCACCAGCAAGGCGAATAGGGGGGCGACCCACGGAGAGTGGACGAAACCTGCCTGGGAGCACGCAGCGCTAAGTAGCATCCCGTCCGATCAAGGACGGCAGGCAGCGCGCGCAGAGACCTGGCTCACGGACTGCGCAAGGGTGAAGCGCAACGGTGCGAGGAGCTCGTCGGCAGGGGCGGCGCGGAAGGGGGGCGACCCGCGGCGAGCGCGCCTGGACAGACCCCTACAGGCAGGGCCAGGCGCACAGACGCAGCTCACAACGAGGACGAGCTGAGGGGGAGACCGAGAGGAGGCGATCCACATGAAGCAGTTGAAACATGGGGGCGGATCGACAGGAAGCTGTCCGACTTCCTCGACGCGCTGGCGACGCTGGCGGCGCACCGGCAGCGCGACCGCGGCGTGCCGCCCACGCGCTGGGGTTCGCGCTGGCGGACGCTCATCAGCATCAGGCTAGCCATGGGCGTGGCGCGCGCTCTCCTCAACGCCGCCCCGGTCCACAGCCGCCCCAGCGGCCTGGTGCGGAGCAGAGAATAGTTTCGTCATCCATGGATCATGTTACGCAGTGGTGTGAGAGAGGAGGCGACAAGGGCAGAGCAATGCGAGCACAGAAGGCAAATGCCCAGACCTGCCGAGAGAGCGAGCGGGGCCTGGGAGGCCTGGCCTCCCTGAGACCTTGGGAAGACGTCTGGGTAAGCAGAAGGTCTGCGGGCAAGCCACTTGGTTCAAAGGTCTTGTTATTGGGGCAACGCGCACTTGATCCAGCACGCCCTGCAAATGAAGCCCCTGCCCTCTTTGCAAAGATGGCCTCCGCGCCACCTGCCGTCGTGGGCCGTGGGCACAGTTGCCACGGGAAGCGCAGGCCAGGGGAGAGACAGGCATACAGGTGACGCAGCGAAATGCGCCGTTGTTGGTGCGCATCGCTGGCAAAGCTTGCTTCTGAAAAGTCCTGCACGGTGGTGGGCGGACGGATGAGAGATCGCCCCTGCTCGCTTGGGCCTTCTGGCCCTTCGGAAGTGGCTTAGGAGGGGCAGCAGAAGACGACTTCGAGCGGGCAGGCAAAGTGGGGCGCTCCTCGGGCGGCATGGCGCCGAATCTAGCAGCATCTACTCATGAGAGACCACCCGCACGAGCGGCCGCGTAGGCGGTGATGTCTCCCTCCTTACGAGATCGGTGCGCCCAATCATCGTCGCAATGGTTCTGCGGTAGCCAGTGGCGATCCTCCCCAAACAAGCCGCGGTTGGGCTCTGAAGAAAGGGCGGACGAGGAACCGCCTCCCTCGGCCCAGGCAGGGCAACGAGGAGGACGGTCCAGAAGAGAGGACACGCTTCGCGGGCCCTCATGGCTAAGCCCATATTCCTATTATATGTTTTTACAGGGCCGGGGACCCCGGAAAAGCGGCACACGGTGCCCACCCCCCCACACCCCCCAAACGAATATCGGCCTCCCCGAGCCTTTGGGGCGCTCCTGCAGAGTGTTCCGTGTCTGTCCTGCGAGTGCGACGCGAAAAAAAGAGCCGCCTACGACAGCCAAAGAGGGCCCCGAGACACCCAAAGATCGGCCCAAGACGCCCAATCTGGGCCCAAGACTGCCCAAGACGCGTCCAAGACGCCCCCAGAGACCCCCAAGAGGCCTCCCAAGAGAGCCCCGAGAGCCTACAATTGTTGATTGTCCTGTGTGTTTTTCGATGTTTTTGGCCTTCTCGCTTTTCCCGCTTCCCGACGCTCCATAATGGCCCAAGAGGCTCCCTAGATCGCCCCAATATTGCCCACGAGGCCCCCAAGAAGGCCCCGACACGGTCCAGGAGGGCTCCGAGACCGCCCAAGAGGCGCCCAAGACGGCCCAAGAGAGCACCAAGAGGGCCCCAAGAGAGACCCAAGAGGGCGCCCAAAAATTCAAACACTAAATTTTCCGCCGCGAGAGGGCCCCAAGAGGCCCGGAGAGAGCCCCATGAGGCCCCAAGAGGCTCCCAAGAGGCCCCAAGGAGCCCCCAAGAGGCCCCCAAGAGGCCCCAAAAAGATCCCAAGAACCCCAAAACACCTTCAAGAGGCTTCAAAACTGCCTCCCAGAGGGCCCCGAGAGGCGCACCACGAGATCCCAACACAGCGGTCTCCCCCTCTCATTATCCCTTCTCTTTGTCGTCGCCTTCTTCGTCGTCGTTGTCGTATCAAATGGCGCAGCGAGGCCTTTTTTCGTTCAAACCACCGAAGGACCCAAGAGCTCCTCCTCCTCTTCCTCATTCTCTTCCTCCTCTACCTCCTCCTCCTCCTTCTCCTAGTTCCCCGTGATGTTTCACGTTCCGCCCCGCCAAAGGTCTAGCAGAAGCAGCTCTCCTCACTCTCCCAAGTCTCTGCTGCGGATTTCTTCCGCGACACCTCGGCTGTGCACCAGATATCCACATAATCTGTCCTCTTCATCTTCTTCCTCCTCTTCATCCTCCTCTTCTTCCTCCCCCTCCTCATCGTCTTCATATTCCTCCTCCCGCCTCGACTGAGCTTCTCGCGACACTCAATACACACCGTCGGGGCCACGACACCATCTCATCCGGACGCGCTGTTGGGAACCGGGGTTTTTGTAACTTTTCGGAGATCAGGCCGTCGGGAACCTTCGGTTTCAGCACACATCCTGGGAAACTCTCTCTGGGGACTCACGGCCGCGCGAACACTTGCAACGTCCTCCTCCTCTTCCTCCTCCTCCTCCTTCTCCTCATCCTCTTCAATTTCCTCTTCCCGCTTGCCACGTTTGTAGGAAAACCAGTCCCCCCCACTCCCCCGCCGCTGTTTTCATGATTCCTTCCGCGGCCACTCCGGCTGCGCCCCTCATTTTATTATATTGAACGACGCCTCCCGGAAAGGCGGGAAGCGGGGGGGGGGGAGAGGAAGAGGAGGAGGAACAGGAGGAGGGGGAGGAGGGGGAGGAGGAGGAGGAGGAGGAGGGGAGAGGAGAAGGGGAAGGAGGAAGAGGAGATAACGGAAAGTAGTCTAATCCGCTTCGCCAGAGATATGCTCGCAACTCCGACCTCAGAAGCGCCTTGCTTCGCATCGGCCCCGCCGTTTCCGCTTGAGACAGCATCGCAACTCTGGGGCCCGAGACGCTCTCAGTTGAGCTGTTCCAGCCACTGTCGCCTGAGACGCTCTCGCAAGTCTCACACCGGAGGTGCCTTGCACCATGGTGGTTCGGCCACTTTCGCGTGCGACTTCGCGCAACTCTAAGTTCAAGGATGCCCTGAGCAGAGGTGTTCAGACCACTCCTCGCTTGAAACTTCTTCGCACGGCTGACTTCGGATATGCCCTCCCCTGAGCGGAGGTGTTCAAGCCATTTTCACCCGGGCCGTCCTCGCAACACTGACCTCGGCGACGCACTGTCCCATGGTAGTCTGACCACGTTTGCCTGAGACCCTCGTGCCTTTTAGTGGCGCGATGATATGAGCAACTGGTCAGGCCACTACCGCCTGATATACGCATGTGTAGCGCACACATAGTTACACTGACCATTTGCATATACATGTACATTTCCATACGAACGTACACATAGATGTACGTATGCACTATACATTCATAGACGCATGCGTGTGCGCATGTACACACGCCTCACCCCGCTAGCCTGCGAATTCCAAAGGACCAAGGTGCATGGCGCGCAGCGCCAATGCAGTCTTGTATATATATATATATATATATATATATATATATTGTAAGACGGTGGGGCGAGCGGGAAAGCGAAGGAGGGCGCCCCTGGGGCACAGGCGAAGAGATCGACCCAGCACGGCCCACTGGGGGACCTGTGAGCGGCGAGAGCGTGACTGCTGGCCCCATGGCTGCGGGTGCTCATGTTATGCACAATTATCTGAACACGTTCGAGAGTTGGACTTTCCTCTCCGCGATCCCCCGCCTTGATCCGTTGCACGGGGGCGTAGAGCTTTTCCCAGCGGTACAACATCCGTGGCCCAAGCGCGGCACATGGAATAGGAAGGCCCGACGGGTTCACCGCTTCCGTAGAACACCCCGTCGGCGCTCGTGAGTTGAATTGGCCAGAGGGGCGGAACGAACGGTGCCGCGGTGCTAAGCAGTTCGGCGCAAAAAGGAGGAGCCGGATACAGTTCCTGTGGTGTGGCGAGCGGCCGAGGTGGCAGAGGTGGAGCAGCAGGAGGGCCCCGGGACGCCTCCAAAGAGGACGGGCGAAGGGCGTGGCGGGCGCTGTGGCCACTGACAGAAGGCGGCGGCGGCGGGGGCACAGAGCTGCCAATGCCGCAGGGGACGCCACATCGCGGTCGCAAGTGGCTGCCAGGCGGCGCGCCCGGGCCCAAGCCAGCGCGGAGCGCGCGCATGGGGGGGCGGCACGGTTTCGGCCACGGCTCGGGCCTGGAGGAGGCAGGAGGGAGGCATGGAGGAAAAGGAGGAGGAGGAGGAGGAGGAGGAGGAGGAGGAGGAGGAGGAGGTAGGAGGAGGAGGTAGGAGGAGGAGGAGGAGGAGGAGGAGGAGGAGGAGGAGGAGGAGGAGGAGGGAAGAGGTCGACGGAGTAGGACGAGATGGAAGCCGAATCACAAAAAGAGTGGATGAGGGCGAGGACAGGAGGGTGGATAAGGAGGAGGAGGAGGAGGAGGAGGAGGAGCAGGAAGGAACATCAAGAAACATGAGGAAGATAAGGAGGAGGGAGACGAAGGATGGATTGTGAATCGTAGTAAGAAGAATAATAAGAGGAATGAGGATGAGGGAAGACGAGGCGGAAGAGGACGAGGCTCCAGGTGAACCTGAAAGGCCCCAGACACCAGTCCCAGACACCCCGGGAGGCTTCAGGCGGCCCCGGTATGATTACGAGCATCACGAGGAAGTCTGATGCGAAATGGAGGGACCGCGCAAAGGGCACGCAACACTGCAAACTAGATTTTATACTATCCACGTGTCGTATTGCACAGATTTTGAGATGCCGTTCGATTTGTAGCCCTTGACCCGGTTCGTGGGCCCCTCAAGCTGCTCATACTGTGGTCCCCCAGGGGCCTGGACCTCTTCGCAGGTACCGGTTTGGTTTCCCACCCCGAGCCGTCGGGAGCCTTGAGACGGGGGTCAATGCAAACGGGGGTCAGCCAGAGCGCCAACTCTCGCAGGATCCTGCGAAGACCCCCTCTGGCTGACCCGGGTTAGCGAGCCGCCTGTGGCCGCAAGGCGGCCGCGCAGATTGGCTGACCGGGTCTGCGAAAGCCTGCGTGGCAGTTCTTGTTGTCCTGCACTGCAGCTTCTTGGTTTCCTGCTGGCCTGGGTCTGGGTTGGCCGGCCGGTAGGGGGCCACATGTAAACCCTACCCCCCACGATTTCTGAGGGGGAGGGCGGGGTTCACTTCGTTCGGGAGCTCCCGAGCGAAGTGAACCCCACCCTCCCCCTCAGAAATCGTGGGGGGCAGGGGTAGGGTTCGCATGTGGCCCCCAAACTGTCTGTCCGACTCGACTGCTCCCCACGGCGCGCGGAGGTGCCGGGCCGCCCCCCGTTCCCCCCCGAGGAGCTGCTCGGGGCAGCCGACCTCATCGACAGGGAGGTCCACGTGCTGCGGCTGGCCGTCAGCGAGCGCCAGGCTGCCCACGCCGCCCGCGGGGGGGGGGCGGCGGGGGGGGGGAGCTTGACTGGGCATCCGCCCCTCTGCAGATCAGACGGTCTGCGACGGCCTCTCCCTCGAGGAGCCGAGGAGGAAGGGGGAGAAGGCGGAGGAGGAGGAGGAGGAGGAGGAGGAGGAGAAGGAGGAGAAGGAGGGTAAGGAGAGGAGGATGATGATGAGCATGAGGAGGAGAAGGAGGAGACGGAGGAGACGGAGGGGGAAGGAGAGGAGGAGGATGATGATGATGATGAGGAGGAGGAGGAGGAGGAGGTGGGAGGAGGCGGAGGAGGAGGACGAGGGTGAGGTGCAAGTCTGGAGTGAGAGTGCCCTGTGCCCCGTTTCGATTCGTTGGACTGCCCGTGATCGTCGTGGCCGAAGACTAGGGCCCTAATTGCGCAGCCTTGGTGATTGAACAATTTGCATCACAGCATGTCTTGCTACTGTGATCTTCAGTGGCAGCGCGGCGCGTGGTTCACATACCCGTCGGGCGGCAGATCGGAGTTTCGCTGAGTGTGGACCCGCTCTTGCTGGTGGGCGAGTCGAGCTGGCAGGTGAGCGTCTTGTCGATGCTGAGAGGGAGAGAGAGAGAGAGAGAGAGAGAACGTACCCTGGACACCGAGGTTGTGACGCCGACCACTCGCATGGCTCAAGCGGCTGGCAACGGACGAGACGCAGAGCGAACCGCGGCGGCCACGGCCGCCCCGTGGACCATGACGGGGGCCCCCGCCTCCGCCGGTGCGGGCCCGCGCCGGGCGCGTGGCCGTGGGCCGGCTGGCAGGCCAAGGCGGACCATCCGCCGCCCCTCGCGGGGTTCCCGCTGGGCGCGGCGCCGCAGCCTCGGGCGGCCTGCGGCGCCGCAGGCCCGCCGGGGGCGGGCCACCATGCGCGCAGCGCCGCTCCTGCCGCCGCCCGGCGCGGCTGGCCCGCGGGCGAACTCTGGGCGGCCGCAGCAGTCGCGGCGCCCAACCCGGCTGCCGCCGGTTCGGTGCCCGCCTCGGTTGCCGTTGGCGCGGTGCCCGCGCAGCCGCAGCCAGAGACGGACCCGTGGGTTCACTGGCGCGCCTGGTGGACGCTACCAGCACAGCCGCGCGAGCAAGACACGATGGACAAAGGTCGAGACCCTGTGCCCTCGAGCGGAGAGAACCCCATGGCCAACCTGCGACCGCGGCTGAATCGCTGGCCATATGGAAGCACGACACCATCGTCCCAGCCCGCAAGCACGGCACGAAGTTGTCCAAATGTCACAGGATTCAGAGGCGGCGTTGAAGAGTGGGCAGGGCTGGGACGCTGCGATCACACAAATCAAGATGGCGCACGCAGCCTACCTGGAGAGGATATGGATGTTTCGGTGGAGGAGACGATATTCCAGGGCGACCGCGAGAGAGGTGCCGCCATGACGCAGCACCCGGCGAGGAAATTCCCCAAGTTGTGGGAGCTCGAGCCGGCGCTCTGCAGCGTCACCTCGGCTTCTTCGGTGCTCAGTCCAGCGCTGCTGAATGGCCCCCCCCCCCGCCGCCGGCAATTTGAGTTGATTTTGGCCGGCGAGCCCGCCGCCATTGTGTTGGCTGTTCCGCCACTTGTTTGAGTTTGCAAGCTCCGGCGCCTGGGAGCGCCCGCGCGCGCTCGCGGGCGCTTTCGAATGCCCCAGGGGGCGCCTGAGGGCGCGCGCGAGCCTTGCGACCGCATGCGAGTGCTGGGGGGGAGGAGGCGCACAGAAGCGCATGCAAATGCTTAATGTCAGCCTGTGATTAACAAAAGCCCCCCCCCGGGGCTGATGAATAGACCCCGCGGGGCGCGATATTTTTCTCAAAATCACACGCGCCAGGGGGAAGGAGGAGAGAGGAGGGGGAGGGGTGGGAAGGAGGAGGACGAGGAAGAGGAGGAGGAGGAGAGGGAGGAGGAGGAGCAGGAGGAGGAGGAGGAGGAGGAGGAAGAGGAGGAGGAGGAGGAGGAGGAGGAGGAGGAGGAGGAGGAAGGGGGGGTTGCAAAGCCCGCTGCGCGCAGCTGGTTTCGGTCGCCCCGCCGAAGGGCCAGTCCTCGACGCACGGCCGCTTTCGGCGCCGGGAGGCGCTTGGAAACTGCGCCCCACTTTCTCCCGGCCCGCGTTGCCCGCAGGCCCGCGTCGGTTCGACAGGAAGAGGGCGCCCTGACTCGCCCTTGCCTCCAAACTCCCCCCTTGCCCCTCGTCGGCGGCTGGGCGTCGGCGCCAATCGCCGGCGCCGCCCCGTTGATTTTCAATATGGCGCGCGCCGCCCCGCGATTCGCCCGAGCCGGGGATGTTTTTAACCCGCGCCCCCCGCGGATTTTTTATCTCAAGGTGACATTAGGGCCGCCAGGAGGCGCGCGGGCACCCTGCGCCCGCGCTTTGGAGCCCTTGCGAGCGCTGGGCGGGTGCGCCCAGGAGCGCGCGCGAGGCGCTTGTTCCACGGCGCAGTCCGCCACAAGAAATTCAAATTGATTCAGGGAAGATCCTCCGATATGATTTTTGGGGGGCCCCGCTGCCGTCCTTCTGGAACGTCAGTCATCGCTTTCCATTTCCCCCCGCCGCCCGTTTTGGCATTGAAATGCCCCTGGGCAGGCCGACTGGCGCCGCGGTGATGCGCGGCGCCCACCTGAGTGAGGAACAGAGACGCAGCGACCGCGCGCGGGCGCAGGGCGCGCAGGGGTTGGCCAACATAGCGGAGACGCCGCGGCGCCTCGACAAACCCCGCTCGCACCTGGCCCCCGCGCTGGCGCGGCAGAATTTTTTTACAAGCAGTATCATAATCCCCCGACCGGCGGCGACTGCGGCGGATGCTCTTCGGCCGACGGCGCGAGCGGAGGAGCCGGCGGCGGCGCAGGAGACGACGAGAACGACGGGCCCGAGGACGAGGGCCCGAAGAAGGTGGACGACGACGGCGAGTTGCTGGTCCACAAGAGCGGGGAGACGCTGACACCGTTCGGCCCCGAGGCCGAGCGCGAGGGGGAAGGGCAATCGACTTGACGGCCTCGGCCCAGTCATATCGCGAGGTCGAGAGGCGCCGGTGGCCGACTGGGCCGGGCGCGGCTTCTTCGGTCCGAGCAAAGGCCAGGGTAAGGACATAGGTGGGCAGAGAGGAGTTCGGGCGCCGCTCAAGGACAATATCGGCAACGAGAACACGAGCGGCGCCGCCGTGGAGGTGCTTGCGCGAACGACGTGATTCCGGCGTGGCAGGCCGGGGCAGGCGTCGCGCAACTGCCCCGAGTGGTCCACCCGCGACAGGGGGGCCGGGGAGCGGGTCTCTTCGCCACGGTGCCCGCGGCCAAGCCCTCCCTCCAGATTTTGGCCGCCCCAACCGAGCAGGCGAGCTTCGCGACGCGCGGGTTCGCATCGCCGTCGAGTCCGCGGGCGGGCCTGCACGCGACGGCTGGCCAGGCGCGAAGTGGTCGAGGGTCGCGGGGCGGGCGCCGCGGTCAGATCGCCTGCCAGAAGCGCCAGGGGCTGCGGAGGGGCCTGGGGCTGAGGCCGATGGAGTCGGCTGCCCCACCGAACTGATCGCGCGGCGGAGTCGGCTGCCAGGCGGAGCTGGTCGTCGCGGCGGAGGCGCCCAGCGGCGGCGGCGGCGGCGTCGGCGGGGCCGCGGCGGCGCGCGCGGCGCGGTCGAGGAGTCGCAGGGCCGCGAGGCGCCACTGCTGCTCCCGGCGAGCTTGGTGAACGGGCTTCGCGGCGCACGCGACGTCGACCGCCGGGCGTTCGCCGGCCGCGAGTTCCACGCCGAGGCGAAGACGCGGCCGATGAGCACGAGCCACCAGAACATATCGGTGACGGAGTTTGGCGACATAGGTCGGCAAATGAGCGAAGCTGCGAAGGCGGACGACGACGAGGCGGACTTCTACACCAAGGACGGGCGACATCCCCGCGAAGCGGCAGGGCTCGGACGAGCCAGAGCAGCTGATGACCCAGGCGAAGGTAGAACCGCCCGACGCGGACAATCTAGTCCACGAGACGGAGTTGTCGAGCTGCAATTACGCGCGGCATGACAATTGGGTCAAGTTCAACCGGGCGCGGGCGAGGAACCACTCCAGGCACAAGCGGGCGCTCTATTCACCCGCCCGGTCGAGCTCAGGGCCGGCCGCGACGACCTTGCAGTAGGTCCGCGAGACGGACGTGACTTCTGCGATTGGGAAACGATCTCCCATGAACGGTATCTGGGCGCGCCCCAATTGCTCGCCGAGCCTTGGCGAAGACGCTCGACTCTCTACATATTTGGAAATCCCAACCTGAGCAGCTGTCTCAAGAATACATGTGCCGCGCACCAGCGGTCCTCGACGCCGCCCCCAGCGCCCGCGGGCGAAATCTGGACGCAGGCGAAAGCCAAAACGCGAAACAGACCGAACAAACTTAGAATCCCATCAGAAAGCAAACTTAGCAGCTCAGCGGCAGAGGCGAACGAGCAGAACATCCCAGAATACAGATAATTCAGCAGCTCAGACGCAGAGGTGAACCAGCAGAACATCCAAGAGGACAACCAACTGAACAGCTCAGACGTAAATTGGTCGAACATCGAAGAAGGGGAGCCACCGGAACGCCTCGATCCCAAACGGCGGGAACCCGACCGCGAGCTGGCGGGCAAGCAAGCCATCGCGCCCGAGGAACGCAGAACGTCGATGGATTAGTGTCGGGATCTCTCGAGGCCGCCCCCTCCGTGGCCGCGCTCGGCCGGGGGGCCTCGAGCGACCGCGGCGAGCGGGCCGCCGGGCCGGCCTCGGGCCGCGGGGGCGGCCCTCGCAGCGCCGCGAGGCGCGGCGGCTGTGCTTGGCGCGACGCCGGCGGCGGGCGCGGCTTCGCCCGCGCCCGGAGGCGCGGGTCGCGAGCCAGACGTCGGAGGCCGGGCGCTGCGGCCATATGCAGGAGGAGCGCGCGGAGAACATCCCCCCCCCCTTACACGTGTGGCGGCCAAGAGGGGGGGCCTTGACAAGCAGCGGCTGGACGAGAAGGGCGGCCGAAGAGGTGCGAAGCGCCTTGTTTCAGGCCGGCGGAGAATCGGCAAGCTCTCGGCGCCGCGTCAGGGCGAGAAAGCCAAGCCGCCGCGGGCAAAGGACTGCAACCGCCAGACGGAGAAGCCACAGACCCTGGGCTCGGGCAACGGTCTGCGGTGGACATGCGAAATGCACGGCTCCCGTTGGGGCGGGCGGCGGGCGAGCTCGCATGCAGACCCGCTCGGCAGTGTCGCGATGTCGACCACCATTGAGCTGGGCCCCGCCGAGGTGCTGGCGCAAACAGCCGTGCATTCTGGCATTGGACCAGGAAAAGAGCCAGGTTCTGTCTGGGGGCGCGCCAGCTACAGCGCCCTGACCACGTCGTGCCAGAGAGCGTGGCCAATGGGCCCCTGCGAGAGCGACTTGGCGGCGAAGCTGCCGGTCGGGGCTCGGGCGGCCCTCGCTGGAGCGGCGCGACAGGCGCCCGCGGCGCGGGCGCCGCGGACGACGTTGGCCCCGAAGGCATGGTTCTAGGAGTCGCCGCCCGCAGCCAGGAGATCTGCGAGTCGCAGACGGGCCAGGGGGCCTACGGCGGAGGACGCGCACGCGCCGATGGACCTGCCGCTCCGGGCCGAGACGCCCGAGTTGCCGTCGGGCCGAGCGAGCGCGCCACCGACGCCGAGGGCTCTGAAGGCAGCGGTCAAGGGCGAGATGGACGAGCGCCACAAGGCTGACATCTCGGGAGTTCCAGCGATTGCCTCAAGATCGTCGTCGCCGAGGCACCTGCCCTCGGACGAGTCGAAACCGCGGGGGCCTCCGCCGATCGGCATAGCGACGCCTCCACAGGACTACGTCTGAGGTCCGCGACGGCGCGGTTTGAAGCCCAGACGGCGCTGCCGCTCTGGAGGTTGCGCCAGATGCGGCGGGCAGCGAGGGGCAAGTTGCCGACGTCGAGCTGCCCGACGCTGCTGATGACCCACGTCGGGTTAAAGGTTGACATGCTGGGCAAGGTATATACTACGGCGGCGTGGGCGACGCGACTTGCGCCCACGACGGCGGCGAGTGGCGACAGCGCGACTGGAGCGCCATAGCCGAATGTGACCTGCCGGCGGCGGTGGCTGCGGCCGATCGGCCGCGGCTGAGGGTCGTCGGCAAGTACGCGCGGTTGGCCGAGGACCATGTCCCGGCTGCAACGTGACGCGCAGAGCTGATGAGCAATTTCGCGAACTGCTCGGCGGCGGCTGGCGAGCCGCTGGGCGACGGCAAGTGCCAGTTGGAGAACTGCATGATTAATGTGGCGGAGCTCCACTCGCTGGCGAGGGTGACGGCCGCGGCGCGGCGCCTCGGGTCGAGGACGGGGCCGGCGCGGACCTGTCGACGGGCTGCGATCTGAGCGACGCGGGCGCCCAGCGCGAGGCGCGGCAGCACCTGAGGGGAGCCGGAGCTCTTGATCGCGAGCCTGGAGTACAAGAGGTGGAGCAGCCTAAGGAGCCTCAGAGATAGCAGGAGGCCGCCCGTGGACATCGCGAAAGAGCGCGGGCGGGCGAGGAGGCGCCGGCGCGTCTGCCGCGACGCGCGCCTGCACCAGTGGCGGCGCGGTCGAAGCTTCCTGCTCGAGCAGCCCTGGACCGCGAAGTCGTGGCGCGAGAACGCGCTTCGGGCCATCGAGGACTTGGAGGGGTGGAGTTCGCGCGAACCGGCGTGCGCGCGGGGCGTCGGCGGCGGGCGGCGGGATGCAGGCACCGCGAGTTGATCGGCCGGACGGCCAAGTACGCGCAGAAGTACCAGGAGAGGTTCTGACGGGCCATCGTCGCGGGGCCGAAGCGCCACCTCGAGTTGCGGGGCGCCGCCCCACGGCCGGAGGCCGTTTACGCCGCGACGGCGGAGTCGAAGGAGCTTCCCGAGGAGATGTTCCTGGGCGCGCACATCGGCGATCGCATCCTTGCCCAGCGCGGGCACGAGTCAACAGACGACATTAAGGCGCTGGAAGGGGCTCGCGACGGAGATCCCGAGCTACCCCGAGTCGGCCGCGCGGGAGCGCGACCTCTCGGGGACGCCGCGGGCCGAGCGAGAGCCGACCACCAGCCAGGACCCCACCGCGCTGGACCACGACAGGATGGGCGAGGACGCGGTCACCAAGGAACCCGCGCCTCAAGAGCAGCGAGAGCTCTTGCGAGCACATCGGGCCGGCGAATGAGGACATGGCGAGGGCGCCGCGGCACGCCGGGGCCAAGAAGCACCCCATCCGCTGGACAAGGCATCATCTTAGGTGCGCAGCGTGCTTGTGCAAGCCGATGCCCCTGCCTGCGCTGCCGTCCATGCTACCAAGGTGCCTCACGTTCAACCGCGTGATCGGCGTGGGCCAGGTGTTCGTGCTGTTCGGCCACCTCGAGCTGATGTGCCTGAACGTTGTGCGCTGGGGGACCCGCTCTCACATGGTCACCAAGATCGGCAGCAGGACCGCGGAGGAGATCGCAACCGAATTCGCGAAGGTCTGGGCCGCGCACTACGGATGTCCTTACCTCGCCATCATGGATCAGGGTTCCGAGTTCACGGGCTCCGCGATCCAAGCCATGCTGGGCGAGGACCGCGTCATCGTGTACATCTTCGACGCGCGTAGTCCATGGCAGAATGGCTGTGCCGAACGGGCCGGTCAAACAGTCGAGCAGATTTTGGAGAAGGTCATCGAGGACGAGAGTATCCTCACCACCGAGGAGATCGACGCGGCGCTGGCTGCGGTGGTGGAGTCACGCAACCGATGCGCGAATCGGTCCAGGCTCAGCGCGCGCCAGCGGGTGCTCGGTAGATCCCAGAGGCTGCCGGGTTTGCTCTTGAGCGACGACCCGATCGACGGGATGCTGATCGCGACGGGCTGCACCACGAAGTTCGCACGGAGCAACGAGGTGCGTCTGGAGGCCCAGCTTGCGCAGTTCGACCTGGGCGAGACCGAGGCACTGGCTTGCAAATCGGGAGTCACGTCGGGGGGGTGCTGAGGTCTGCAATATGTTCTCAGTGTGACCGAAGCATGCGCGAGAACCCAAGTTTGCCATGAGAGGGGCGCTTTTGGGGGATGCGGAGGCCCTGGCCCGAGGGCTTCCACTTGTGCATTGGAACGTAAAGCTGGAGTTGGGAAGTTGCTGCAGGGTGGTGCCGCATGGCTTAAGCAAACTTCGCTTTGAACGTTGTGCTGCGACCGCCTGCGTGGAACCGCCATGTGGTTTACATCGTGATTGCCAGCGTCACATCGGGGCGGGGGGGCGGGCGGGCCGCCCCGAGAGGCACGCCAGAGGCTCGAGGCCGCGGAGTGGGACCTCGAGCGCGCGGTGCGGGAGCAGGCGGGGCCCGCCGCGGGGTCTTTCTTTCAATTGGCGGCCACCTGGCCACCACCTCGTCGCCCACTGGCGGTCACCACCTCGTCACCGCCTGAGCGAAGAAAGAAACGAGGTCGATGGCGCACAACTTCGCGCGTAAGCTGCCTGAGTAGGGCCGCGCGTGAGCGCCCTCGTTGCCACTGCAACGTTCCACCGGCGGCCCGCGCAAGCCGCCTCGCAAGGTCGCTTTGCCATCTCGCATGCGACCCGTTTGTTTTCGTCGCCCACCTGGTTTTCTCTCATTGGCGGTCACCCACCCGTTGGACGTCTGTTCTTGGGACCCCCCACCCGACACTTCCTGGCCCAGAACCGACCCCGACACCCCACCTGGATACCACCTGGTCACCACGTGGCAAGCACCCCAGATTTCTAGCGAGATGATGTTTTCGATCCAAGCGGGCTTTACATGTTCTGGCTCTCGGCCTTCGGGGGCCATCCTCTGGTCCCCGGGGCCATCAAAAACGGATGTCCAGGACAACAAAATACCGACCTCCAGGGAAGGGCGCGTGAGATCGGTGTGGTGTCTCGGGGCGTCCCGCGGCGACCCGTGGAGGCCGAGAGTGAGGCCGATGCTGCGATCGGTGGTGAGATCGATGAGCGGATAGCGAGATCGACAAAGAGGTCGATAGCGAGACCTACAGTGCGGCCGATAGGGAGATCGATTAACAGGCAGTGCACGGATGGACCACAATGGTGTTTCGGTGGTGTTCTGATGGTACGAAGATGGTGTCCCGATGATGGCACTCATTTGTCCCCAGGGTGTCCCGGTGGTGTCCCGTCGCAGTTGTCATCAGTCGGTCCCCCCTCCACATACACACAACCACACTATCACTCGAAGGTTGTTCGTATAGGTGTGCATGTGTATGAATGCATATGCAGGCTAAGCATTCTATACGGGCCAGTGTATGCAGATGTGTATATGTATGTGTCGGTGTGTATATGTGTCGGAGGTGAGGGGGTGAGATCGAAGTGGAACGGAGAGCCCCCTTACCGGGAAATCGATTTCGGTTTCGTGTTCGTGCGTGCCGTGCGTGCGGGCGAGGCGAAGCTGCGTGGGCGGGCGAGAGGAAAGTCTCCTGTGGCTGAGGCGCGGCCGGACCAAATGATTCCCTTCCGGGCGGCCGGGGGCCCCGGTGTCCCGCGGTGTCCCGCTGGTGTCCCGTGTGGCTGAGGCGCGGCCGGACCAAATGTCTCCCTTCCGGGCGGCCGGGGCCCCGCGGTGTCCCGCCGGTGTCCCGTCGGTGTCCATGATTTTGATGATGATGATGATGATGATGATGATGATGATGATGATGGTGATGATGATGACGATGTTGATGTTTTATTTTGATGATCGATAGTGAGATCGGTAGTGATATCGATTGTGAGATCGAACGTGAGATCGAATGTCAGATCGATTGTGAGATCGATTGTGAGATCGATTGTGAGACCGAATGTGAGATCGATAATGAGATCGATAGTGAGATCGATTGTGAGACCGAATGGGATATCGATTGTGAGATCGATTGTGATATCGATAGTGAGATCGATAGTGAGACCGAATGTGAGATCGATTGTGGAATCTATTGTGAGATCGATAGTCAGATCGATTGTGAGATCGATCGATTGAGTTAGTAGTGAGATCACTATCGGTAATGAGATCGATAGTGATTTCGATAGTGAGATCGATGATGAGACCGAATGTGGGATCGGTTGTGAGTTCGGTTGTGATATCGATAGTGAGATCGATAGTGAGATCGATAATGAGATCGAAAGTGAGTTCGATAGAGAGATCGATAGTGAGGCCGAATGCGAGATCGATTGTGAGATCGATTGTGATATCGATAGTGAGATCGATAGTAAGACCGAATGTGAGATCGATAATGAGATCGATAGTGAGTTTGATCGTGAGATCGATAGTCAGATCGAATGCGAGATCGATTGTGATATCGATTGCGAGATCAATAGCGAGACCGAATTTGAGATCGATTGTGGGATCGATTGTGAGATTGATTGTGAGATCGATAGTCAGATCGATTGTGAGATCTATCGATTGAGATCGAAGGTGAGATCGGTAGTGAGCTCGATAGTGAGATCGATCGAGTGCGACGTTGGTCCCTCCCCCCCCCCTCACCTCCTTGTCACCCGAAGGGTGGTCTATGCGGTATGTACATGTACGTAACCGCATGCCGATGATAATAAAGGGCCCCTTCTGCTGGGCTACTTTTATTATCTCTCCCTGAACCCCGAACTTTATTATCCCCTAGTGTTTATTCTCACGGGCATGAGGTTATGTATATGTCGCTGGACGCTGGTGACCTGCTGCTGCTGCTTCTGCGCCCTCCTCCTCCTCTTTCTCGTCTCCCCCTCCCTCCCCCTCCCTGGACTCCCCCGAGGTCGTGGCGGTTGCCCCCCGCGTGCCGCCCCTGGCCCTAAGGGCCAACCTTTCGTCCAGGGTGGTCTCTTTGTGATTGTCCCCAGTCAGGAGGGGAAAAAACACACAGACACAATTAATCGTCGATTCCCCAGAGAATATAGGAAAATATGGGAAGTGGGGGGGAAGACAAAAACCCAGAAAATATGGGAAAATATGGGGACTATTTTTATTTGTGTGTATTTATTTGTGTGTCCTAATTTCCCTTTAAACCTTTCGTCCAGGGTGGTCTTTTTGTGATTGTCCCCAGGCCCGGTGCTGCGGAGGTGTCGGCCCGCTCCCAAGACGGGCCACGAGGCGCCCAGCAGGGCTCCGAGACGCCCTCGGGGGGCGCCCAGACGGCCAACGAGGCGCCGGGAGTCCCCCGAAGCGGGCTCCAGGTGGCTCCCCGAACGAGCTCGGACACGCCACGAGGGCCCCAGCAGGAGGCCCACGGGGCCCCCAGAACGGCCCCAGCACGCCCACCGTCACTCCGATGCGGCCTACGAGGCATACGGCGGCCCAGGAGGGCTCCAAACTGCTTTCCGAAACAGCCCCACTTGGCACACACTACTGGTTTCCAATTTATATTTTCGCGTGGTCGCCTGCTCCGCTTTCCGACGCTCGGAGACGGCTCACGAGGCGTGTACGAGGGCCCCAACGCGTCCCAAGGCGGTGCCAAACCGGCCCCAAAGGCACCCAAGATTGCCCAAGAGGGCTCAAGGCGGCTCTCCAAATGAGCCCGGACACGCCTTGGGCCAAGAGGGCCGTATAGATGGACCGCAGGGTTCCAAAACGGCCCCAGTACGCCCACCAAAGCTTCCATGTTGCCTACGAGGCATTCAAGACGCCCTTCAGAGAGAGAGCCGCAATTCAGTTATTGTCCGTCGTTGTCAATACTACTTAATTGGTCGCCTGCTCTGCTTCCCGACGCGTGGGGACGGCCCAAGAGGCATCCGCGAGAGAGCCCCCGCACACCGCAAGAAGGCTTACTTCGAGCCTCAACACTCCAAAGCGGGTTCTACACGCGGCCGAGGAGCCCCAAAAGGCTTCCCAAACGAGCCTCGACACCCCGACAAGGCCCTACAGAGGCCTCCGCGATGGCCCCCCCACACGGCCGCAACCATTAGGTTCTGGAGAGCCTACTGGGAACGTGATTCTCGTCGCCCCTCATCGGGGCAGGAGCTTCTCCAGTTTTTGAAATGAGCCCCGACACACTGAAAGGGGATCACAGAGGCCTCCACGAGTGCTCCCACACGGGCGCGCTTCCAGGTTCCAGGAGAGCCTTCCGGGAATTTGATTGTCGTCGCCCGTCATCGGAGCAGGAAGTTTTCCAGCATTTCCTTACGCTATGTTTCAGAGCCCTCCAAGAAAATGATATTGACAGCCAGTGCGAGGAAGACACGGCGAGGAGGAGGATACCTGGCAAGTCGTATCCTCTGGTATGATGAGGCTTCGCTTTCGAAATCCTGGGGTTCATATCTGTTCACGGCGATCCTGGAGTCAGCTAGAACCTAATAGCGCGCGTAGCGCGTAGGTAGTTCTAGCATGTGTGTATATACATATAGAGAGAGGAGGAGAGAGAGAGAGAGAGAGACAGACAGAGAGAGAGAGAGACAGACAGAGAGAGAGGGAGCGAGAGAGAGTGATAGAGAGAGGGAGGGAGGCAGGGAGGGAGGGAGGGAGGGAGAGAAACATGTCAATGTCAATCATCATACCAACACTGCGAATAGTATGAGTAGAAAGAATGGTAATGATAATGATAATGATACTCTTACGGCTACTATTGCTACTACTACGACCACTATTATTACTACTACTACTACTACTACTACTACTACTACTACTACTACTATTTCTACTACTACTACTACTACTACTAATACTACTACTACTACTACTGCTACTGCTACTGCTACTACTACTACTACTACTACTACTACTACTACTACTACTACTACTACTACTACTACTACTACTACTACTACTACTACTACTACTACTTACTACTACTACTACTACTACTACTGACTTACTACTGCTACTACTACTGCTACTACTACTACTACTACTACTACTACTACTACTACTACTACTACTACTACTACTACTACTACTACTACTACTACTACTACTACTACTACTACTACTACTACTACTACTACTACCACTACCACTACCTACTACCACTACTACTACTACTACGACTACTAACTACTACTACTACTACTACTACTACTACTACTACTACTAACTACTACTACTACTACTACTACTACTACTACTACTACTACTACTACTACTACTACTACTACTACTACTACTACTACTACTACTTACTATTACTACTTACTACTACTACTACTACTACTACTACTACTACTACTACTACTACTACTACTACTACTTACTACTACTACTACTTCTACTACTACTACTACTACTACTACTATACTACTATACTACTACTCTACTACTACTACTACTACTACTACTACTACTACTACTACTGTACTACTACTACTACTACTACTACTACTACTACTACTACTACTACTAACTTACTACTATA